ATTAGTAGTAGTAGTAGTAGTAGTAGTAGTAGTAGTAGTAGTAGTAGTAGTAGTAGTAGTAGTAGTAGTAGTAGTAATGCTTTTCAGGACCATTCAGTCTTCATTGTTGTAGTAACATCTGGTAAAGGTGCTGTTATAAAATACAAAATCAAAGGAAAAGCAAAGTGTACTGCTCATATATCGCCCCATAGTATTTAAAGCTCTCTCTGGGTGGTTTATTGTTTAATCATGCAGGCTACATATTGCTCCCCCCCAGCAAGCTGGGTACTCAGTTTACCAACCTGAGACAGATAGAAGGTTGAGTCAACCGTGAGCTGGCTACCTGAATCCAGGATTGAATTTAGGTTGTGAGCAGATTCTTCACTGCAGTATTATAGTTGAACCACTGTGCCACGAGGCTCCTGAATCAGGAGATTGTAACTATTCCACATAAATTGATTAGTTTATTTTTTAAAATCTACATAAATATCTTATGTGAAGATTGACTTTCACTCTTTTTGTACATGCTGTATGTGTTGAAAGGAAATCCATCACTGGCATTACTGATGTGGAATAGCAGGAAAAGAGGAAGACCAAATATGAGATGGGCTGACTCCCTAAAGAAAGGCACAGGCTTGAGTTTATAAGAGCTGAGCAGGATGGCTGAGGACAGGACATTTTGGAGCTCCCACATGCATAGGGTCACCATAATTCGGACTTGACAACACATAACAACAAAAGATGAATCTTCATGCTACTCTTTCCAGTTAATTGTGCTTTAGAATTAATTTAACAAGAATGTTTTTGAAATGCTATCCGTCTTTCATACATTAGTTGATCTTTTAACAGTCAGATTGTTATTACATGCAAAACTAATTCCCATTATAATTCATCTTATGAAATAGTAGAGTCTGAAGTAGGAAGCAGTGTCTGTGTAGCTTGAGGAGCCTATTACCTCACATATCCGTCAGATTAATGTATGATTACTTTCATTAAGCCACTAAAAAGTAGAGATAATTATGTGTGTTTTTCACTGTTGTGACTTTCATTTTTTCCTCTTTGAATTTAGAAACCAGATACCTTGACCACAGGAGCAGGGATCCCAGTGGGAGACAAATTGAATCTCTTGACTGTGGGTCCACGAGGACCTCTCTTGGTTCAAGATGTGGTTTTCACTGATGAGATGGCGCACTTCGACCGAGAGAGGATTCCTGAAAGGGTTGTGCATGCTAAAGGAGCAGGTTAGTTTTTCAAGTTGTACGGTATTTTCCTGTATTCAATGTATAGCATTAAATATTTTCAGCTAATTACAAGCAGCATATAGTTTTGTGTACAGAAGATACATGAAAACAAAATTTGTGGCATAGCTTCCACAGCTTGTAACATGTATTTGAGTTGGATCAGGTGGCACATTTTATGGCTTCATTCCCTTAGTGTTGTACCACTGCAGGACTATCATGGAATAATTTGTGAAATCCTTGTTATTTTAATATAACAAGCATTTTATTTTCCTACTGGCAGTGTAAACAAATTTTATTCTGCCATCCAGTTTTAATTGGCAGAGTTAATTTTGCTAATTCCTTTTTCTTGAAAAAATTAAAAGAAAAAAGGAATGAAGATGTTTAAGAATCTTTCAGTTGTATTCTCAAAGGTTTTCACGGCTGGGATCTTATGGTTGTTGTGGGTTTTTTGGGCTCTTTGGCCGTGTTCTGAAGGTTGTTCTTCCTGCTTGGACAGAGTTCCTACTTATTATTATTATTATTATTATTATTATTATTATTATTATTATTATTATTATTATTATTATTATTAGTAGTAGTAGTAGTAGTAGTAGTAGTAGTAGTAGTAGTAGTAGTAGTAGTAGTAGTAGTAGTAGTAGTAGTAGTAGTAGTAGTAGTAGTAGTAGTAGTAGTAGTAGTAGTAGTAGTAGTAGTAGTAGTAGTAGTAGTAGTAGTAGTAGTAGTAGTAGTAGTAGTAGTAGTAGTAGTAGTAGTAGTAGTAGTAGTAGTAGTAGTAGTAGTAGTAGTAGTAGTAGTAGTAGTAGTAGTAGTAGTAGTAGTAGTAGTAGTAGTAGTAGTAGTAGTAGTAGTAGTAGTAGTAGTAGTAGTAATGCTTTTCAGGACCATTCAGTCTTCATTGTTGTAGTAACATCTGGTAAAGGTGCTGTTATAAAATACAAAATCAAAGGAAAAGCAAAGTGTACTGCTCATATATCGCCCCATAGTATTTAAAGCTCTCTCTGGGTGGTTTATTGTTTAATCATGCAGGCTACATATTGCTCCCCCCAGCAAGCTGGGTACTCAGTTTACCAACCTTAGACGGATAGAAGGTTGAGTCAACCGTGAGCTGGCTACCTGAATCCAGGATTGAATTTAGGTTGTGAGCAGATTCTTCACTGCAGTATTATAGTTGAACCACTGTGCCACGAGGCTCCTGAATCAGGAGATTGTAACTATTCCACATAAATTGATTAGTTTATTTTTTAAAATCTACATAAATATCTTATGTGAAGATTGACTTTCACTCTTTTTGTACATGCTGTATGTGTTGAAAGGAAATCCATCACTGGCATTACTGATGTGGAATAGCAGGAAAAGAGGAAGACCAAATATGAGATGGGCTGACTCCCTAAAGAAAGGCACAGGCTTGAGTTTATAAGAGCTGAGCAGGATGGCTGAGGACAGGACATTTTGGAGCTCCCACATGCATAGGGTCACCATAATTCGGACTTGACAACACATAACAACAAAAGATGAATCTTCATGCTACTCTTTCCAGTTAATTGTGCTTTAAAATTAATTTAACAAGAATGTTTTTGAAATGCTATCCGTCTTTCATACATTAGTTGATCTTTTAACAGTCAGATTGTTATTACATGCAAAACTAATTCCCATTATAATTCATCTTATGAAATAGTAGAGTCTGAAGTAGGAAGCAGTGTCTGTGTAGCTTGAGGAGCCTATTACCTCACATATCCGTCAGATTAATGTATGATTACTTTCATTAAGCCACTAAAAAGTAGAGATAATTATGTGTGTTTTTCACTGTTGTGACTTTCATTTTTTCCTCTTTGAATTTAGAAACCAGATACCTTGACCACAGGAGCAGGGATCCCAGTGGGAGACAAATTGAATCTCTTGACTGTGGGTCCACGAGGACCTCTCTTGGTTCAAGATGTGGTTTTCACTGATGAGATGGCGCACTTCGACCGAGAGAGGATTCCTGAAAGGGTTGTGCATGCTAAAGGAGCAGGTTAGTTTTTCAAGTTGTACGGTATTTTTCTGTATTCAATGTATAGCATTAAATATTTTCAGCTAATTACAAGCAGCATATAGTTTTGTGTACAGAAGATACATGAAAACAAAATTTGTGGCATAGCTTCCACAGCTTGTAACATGTATTTGAGTTGGATCAGGTGGCACATTTTATGGCTTCATTCCCTTAGTGTTGTACCACTGCAGGACTATCATGGAATAATTTGTGAAATCCTTGTTATTTTAATATAACAAGCATTTTATTTTCCTACTGGCAGTGTAAACAAATTTTATTCTGCCATCCAGTTTTAATTGGCAGAGTTAATTTTGCTAATTCCTTTTTCTTGAAAAAATTAAAAGAAAAAAGGAATGAAGATGTTTAAGAATCTTTCAGTTGTATTCTCAAAGGTTTTCACGGCTGGGATCTTATGGTTGTTGTGGGTTTTTTGGGCTCTTTGGCCGTGTTCTGAAGGTTGTTCTTCCTGCTTGGACAGAGTTCCTACTCCAGTCCTCTGAAGATGCCGGCCACAGAGACTGGCGAAACGTCAGGAAGAACAACCTTCAGACCACGGCCAAAGAACCTGAAAAACCCACAACAACCAATCTTTGAGTTATTTTTCTATATTATTTGTTTAATTTACTATGAATGTAAACATAACAATTTAGATAATCTTTCCGACCTAGTATTTTAATGTTTTGCATTTTTTTGTCAGGATTAAAAAAAAAACAAGAAGAACCCAGATAACACCCCTTAGCATGTGGGAAAGAGATAGGTAATTTATTCATAGAAGTATATATGAGTTACACTTGCCAGGTTTCTGGAAAAGAAATACACGCATTGGCTTCAAGTGAAGGAATTGCTCTATTATTTTAGTTTACCCAAGAATGTTTTGGACTTCTTGAAAAATGGCCTCTACATTGTCTGTCTGTCTGTCTGTCTGTCAATCAGTCAATCATCTGCTGCCTTTCTCGTCATAGGGGACCCAAGGTAGCGCACAACAGATAAAACATGTATCAAAATAGTCTTTTGAAAACAATGTTGTGTGGACACATCATCTCCATGCAGATGAGCATCATGGTTTATATCTGCATAGTTTCTTTGTAATGGGATGTATCTAGAGTTATATGTGTGTAAATCTATTTTTTCCAAAGGGCTTTTTTGCCTTTTCCTCTTTGCACATTCTTGTGACCACTTGAAAGTTTTTTCATGCGCTTAGTTTTTGCTGATTCCCCTCTCACAGTTTGCAGTGCCACCTCCCAAACCTTTCCATTCAGGAGGTGCAAGGATTACATATTGAATCTTGAATTCCCTTCCACTAGCATTCAAACATTGGTATTCAGATTATTGGGTGTTCCTTCCAGCAGAAGTGAACATGATTTTGTAGATAATTTTGCAGCCTCTGGTAATTCGTTCCAGAATAAATATTTACTCCTCTCAAACTGGCCTACTCCCAGTACCATATATGACATTGTTATCAAATAACCTTTAAACTTTAGACCAGAGGTCCCCAACCCCTAGTCCACAACCCGGCAGCAGTCTGCGGCCTATCCAGGACTGGGCCGCAGACATGGATCTGAGACCCCCCCGCGAGACCCCCCCGTGAGCGCTGTCGTGCACATGCGTGCGAGCACGTTCTACCCTCTGTGAGTGCACTGTGCGCATGCACGCAAGCATATTCCCCCTCTGTGAGTGCACTGTGTGTGCAAGCACCCCCATGAGCGTGGCATGCGTGTGAGCGAGCTCCACCCCCTTGCAGACATGCCGCACACTCCCAACTGGTCCGTGGTTCGAAAAAGATTGGGGACCACTGCTTTAGACTGTTTCTATAAAAAAAAATAACCATTTTATTTTTCAGGGGCTTTTGGCTATTTTGAAGTGACTCATGACATCACCAAGTATTGCAAAGCAAAAATATTTGAGCACATTGGCAAAAGAACCCCAATGGCCATTCGATTTTCTACTGTTGGTAAGGCCTTTACACACTTTGTGCATTTTCCTTTT